ATGTGTGTGTGTATGTATATGTGTGTGTGTATGTATATGTGTGTGTGTATGTATATATACACACACACTACCCTCCCATAATGTCTTTGTTAGACTTTTCTACAAATTAATATATGTGTCTGTGTGTCGAAAAGTCTAACAAATACATTGGGGAGAGGGCGGGATTACAATTAGAATCATCATAAATGTTAAAAGAATGTTTGCTTCATGGACTGGATGGAAATGAGATCCTGTTAACACATTAGAGTAATTGGTCCTAATTCACTGCTGGGTCCAAAATGTGACTTAAGAAACAGAATTCTGTCCTCACTGGACGCCTTTTTCTTTGTATCATTAAACGAAAACCCTCCTCATCTTGCCTCTATTATTCAACTGTTAAAAGCAATTGGAATCCACCGTGTTATTGCCACAATTATACATTGTGTATTTACAATGTATATTTATTGTATATTTACAGTGTATATTTATGTATTGTATATAGTTATAAATAATTATAAGGAGACAAAGAGGCAATAGCACAATTGTATTTATTGTCTCTTTGTATCTTCCTTCCTGATTAGCCTACAGTTCAGAATTTCTTTGAGCCCAAGATTACAAGAGACATTATGACATAACCAAACAAGACCTACTCTAAAAAGAGGTAGAAATAGGCTAGCTGCTTGTGTAAAGAAGGTGAGAGGAATTACATTTCTCTCCCTAAGATCTAGCTTGAAGTTTCTTGGCCACCATCTTCGATGACAGCTGCCCAAGTATCTCTCAAGAATAGATCACAGCCTTTTATGTAATTCCAGTGTGACTTATTACAAGGATTTTCATTTTGACTAATCTTTTGATTTCTGCATTTGCTCGCACCATAATAATGACTAAAGAATCCTGTCCCCATGATCTTTCTACCTTCTTCTAAATGCTGCCAATCTGTTCTCTGGATCACTTGAATCTGAGGAAAAATGTATTGATTATTGAAGCCATGCTCCTCCAATGAGCCTTACCAAAGTATTTAAGCGCCATGGTGTGCAATGGTTAGAATGCAGACTAATTATGTCAATTGCCAGCAGCTCAAGGTTGACTCAGCCTTTCATCCATCCGAGATTGGTAATATTGAGTACCCAGATTGTTGGGGGTAATATGCTAACTCTGTAAACCGCTTAGNCACAGCCAGGTTTTAACGGCTTTTCGGAAGGCCTGGGGAGAGGTGAGGGTCCGAATCTCTGTGGGGAGTTCGTTCCAAAGGGCCAGAGCTGCCACAGAGAAGGCCCTCCCCCGGGTAGTAGCCAGATGGCATTGGCTGGTAGACAGAACCCGGAGGAAGCCAGCCCTGTGTGATCTAATGGGTCTTTGGGAGGTAATTGGCAGCAGGCGGTCTCTCAAGTACCCAGAAGACAGTTGGTATCATATAGTAAGAAGCAATCCATACTGCGTCTAATTAGAAAGCATTATATAATTATTGTCCGTTGAGATTTTTCCGTGGAGTCTACTAGAAAGAATCACGGGCGTGTCTGGATATGCATTGTGTATATACTGATAAATGAGGGTGTGCAAAATCCAAGGTACTAAACAGAGCAAAGAGCTTGATGGTATGAAGAGTATTTTTCTGTTAACTGTTGATTTGCCTGAGATAAGAATTTAGTGGGTTAAATATTATTCAGAACTGAATAGCTCAGCTTTGGGCACATATTTACATATTGCTTTCATAGCGAAATGTTTGAATGCAGGCCAAACCAAGAACAGTGATAGGAGATTTAACTGCAGTTTCTGGCCTCTGTTAACATGGAATGTGCAACATTTGTAAATTTCTATTTGAGTCATTTTTTTTTAAAATAAACTTGTGCCAAAACAGTCTTAGGAAGCAATATATGTGCACCTTAAATCATTAAATGAATTATCTTGTGCTGAGCTGACACCCCATGAGCTCTCCAATAGCTAACTCAGCATACGTAGAATTAACTATTACAATGTTAGCTCTGATTTGGTGATTATTCTGGTATTTTGAAAATGTGTTCTCCCTTTGGAAAGGGAATCAAATTCCTCAGACTTTAGCATAAGTCACAGCCGCTATCTTGAAAAAGGAGATCAAAACTCTGCAGAGAAACTGCCAGTGACATTTTAATTTCTCAAATTTATTGAGACTGTTTCTAAGATATCTAAGCCTGAACAAAAGGTGGAAAGTCCAGGTTGATTTTCAATAGTTCTGAACATGCTTCCCAGGTCCCGTAATAGTTTTTTTTGTTGTTAAAACCCACATATACAGGAATGTTGCAAAATTATCTAGACTCAATCCAGTTTGTCTATTTGTTGCAGCTGTGAATGAATGACTGTAGGTATAACCAAAGGAAGTGAAGCGTTCCTTCTCTTGCCACATTTTAATCAATCTGTCAGCAGTTCCTATAAACAGATTCTTCTTTGTGTGATAAAATCAAGAACTTAAATAAAACTTACAAGCAAAAAACACAGTAATAGAATGATATGCTGGCATTTTTCTTTTGATGAGGTAACAGCCAGTAAAGCAAGCACATCCTTAAGTAATGGCGAACATTTTAATGTGCACCATTAAAGACCACGAAAACGGGAATGGATGGGTTTTCCATGTTTCAAATTCCTTTATCTGCCACACATTGTGCCAGGGGATAGGCTGTAGCTGTACAGCTCAGCTGTTGCACAGAGCAATGTGGTAGCCTCAGGCACCAAGTTAATTCTTAGTTTAATTTCTTATTACTGTATTCTCTCTCCATCCCCAAGGGAGAGCAGTTTGCAGGATTTATTTTATTTTATTTTATTTTTTGCCTCAGGTGTTAAAATGTTCTGGCTTTGGCAAGGTTATTGTGCTCCTTGGGATGGGAGAAGGCTTAAATACATATTTCACAAGCAGAAGACCCCGAGTTAATTTTCTTTCCCATCTCTTCGTAGGGCTGAAAATTGGCTGGACGCTTGGATAATCATCCCCATTAGGGCAGATAATATGGAGCTGAAAGGCTGTGTTTAACACACATGTCCTGTTTCTCTTTGAGAACTTTTCTAATTAATTTTAAATTTGACATGTGCAAGTCCTTCCGGGTTTTCAGCCCCCTCCCCTTCCAGTAAAACATGCCCATGAGTAATTAATGCTGAAGGAATTTTGTAGATTCACTCCAGTCCAAACATGGAACTTGTTAGGATTTCATTTAAGCCACTACTCATTGTGGCTGCAGATTACTGAAAAAAACAGCCCTAAATCCTAGGACTGAAGATCCTATTGCACGTGAAGAATCACATTTCCAAACTATTTCTTATGTTTAAATAGGGGGAGACCACTTGAACTTCTAAGTGCTCGTGTCTACAATATCTTATTTATGTCCTGAGTACATGAAACATTCCTGGTCTTCTCTTGGCACAGCTTGCCTCTGTATGCATTTCTCAGCTGATACTTTTAAGGACTTGAAAAAAATTACAGTCAGACCAGTATGTTTTCCATTAGCTAAATCAACGTGGTTTATGAGTATGTACCGCAGCTTATATCTGTGAATCTGTCTGCATAGGAGAAAAATTCTCTGTGGTGTTTTTAGCTTTTCATCTCAGTTATTTCTCAATCCAGCAAATGTATACTTGAGGGGGGAGAGGGGGATGTCTTTAATTTGTATTGTGGTGGTGGTCGAATTTGATTGGGAGCGAGCTTTCTGTTGTTGCTTTATTCCATTTAGAGTCACCTGCCAACTTATTTGTTTATTAAAAAATAAGTCCCTCTGGGTTTCCAGCATGCAAGGCTCATTTACCCATAAATGTAAACAGGAAATCATTTTCACATGCGATGAATTGTGACCCAGACAATAGTCCCTTTTTTTCTTGAAAGTAGCACCACAGCAGGTTGCTGCAAAGATTGCTAATTGTAGAAAAATAGGACCAGTATTTTTTGGTAATCACTAAGGGGTACTTGAAATAAAAGAGTTCGGCGGGGGAGCTGAGGCGAAAGTATGAGATACAGGGTAAAATGAGATGGCCATGGGCCTTGGGATCTACTTGCCAAAGGCAGCAGGAAAGCATCTTTTTAGAACAGGCAACAATGGCTTCTTTATGACCCGTGGACTTCAACTCCCAGAATTCCTGAGTTGATTATGGATTCATCTGGGAGTTGAAGTCCACGGGTCATAAAGGGACCATAATTACCCATCCGTGTCTTAGCGTATAAAAGGAGAAGGGAATGCTAGGAAGATTCGTTTGGGAGTAGGTCTGAGGGTGAGACAGAGAGTCCAATGAAACAAGAGGCCAACCTTTAAATAATCACGCAATTTTTCCTTTTTGGCATTTTCTCTAGTTCCACAGTTTTTTCGTGGCCCTCATTATTGCTGGGTCATGCCTTCAAAGAGAGGTATTTGTTGGTGCTGTGCTTTTCTGTGTCTTGATGAGTTGTTTGGTTCTGTCTTGCAGCCCTCAGAATCCAAGTCCAACGTCACCCCTTTCACCGTCCTGGCCCATGTTCTCCGCACCATCCAGCCCTTTGCCCACCTCCTCCACGTCCAGCGATTCATCCCCCATCAGGTCTGTGGCACATTTGTGGTTTTGCTTCGTTTGACTCCTTTGCTGCTGCTACTGCTTTGCTGCTGCTTTGACATTTTAAGTTGATCTGCTTTTTACCACTGCCTTCCCAAAGCTCTGCATTAGGGCTAACCTTTTTTTGGTTTGCAATCTTCCCAGCTTCAAAGGAGGGAAATTTTAATATTCCATGACACCCCTTTTTTTTCAGGGGTGTAATGACTTTTTTTTCTTCAGGGGTGTAATGACTTGAATACCTCCTTAAATGTTCCAGTTACCCCAGCCGCAGTATTGCTGTGGAAGAGAAGTAAGGTAGATGAGTTTCTCTTTTACTTTCGTCAGATTTTTGAATTTTGATACTTGCTCTTCAACAGGTAAGTTTTCATTACCACTCCCTGGAAAGGAAGTATAATAGATAAAAGTGAAGGCATTTTTTTAAAGTCCAGCCCTAGGCTGCCAATCTGGTTTTCCTCTCTTCTCTTTTGGTACCTGGGTGAAAATAGCTTCAGGAATTTCTCAGTGGAAACTGCTTGTGCCATGCAAGACTTGAAAATGTTGATACCCCACACATATAAAATGGGAAATTATAACATGATGCATTGTTCATAGGAAAAAAGCAAGTCAACCTTCTACATTCAAGCAAGTTTAGTTAAATAGAACAAAATTATTTGATAAAGTCAAGCAAGTTCATTGTGTTTTTGATATTCTCAGTTGTTATTTCATTCTGCCTATTTGCACAGAATTGGTTGGGAATTTTAACTATCTTTCCAAAGGAATCGGATCACTTATGTCAGAAATAGCATTCACATTCTTTGTTGCAAAATTCCACCAGCTGTCTCTTTTGCACCCTCATAATGTTCTGGATGATTTTATGCAAAATTAACAAAAATACACAACTCCTTTCCATCAACTGTTCAGAATAGTTGACAAGGGAAAATTAACTGGGTCCATAAGATTATTTGCGAAAGCTTGAGAAAAAAATAACAAAAAAATACATCAGTAACTACAAAACCAAAATGAGTTTATATACAGTACTGTGATGGTGAAGTATTTGCTTAATTAAGAGGTCTGAATCAGTGCATGTTGATTCATCTCTACAAATGTTTAATCCTGTTGGGAAAACATTTGTATCAATTTCAAAGCAACCACCTTTTGTGATAGAAACACACTGTATTGTGGTATAATTTTGAAGTTTGGCAACTCATTCTGGCAAATCTAGTACCTTCTTGATGACTACTGGCACAGCAGGGACAGGGATGGTACACCTTTTTTTTCAACCTTCCATAGCTTCTCAGAGATTTTTGGTACCATTGCTCATGATTCCTTCTGGACTGTCTATAGGGACTAGAAGAGAGAGACACATAGTCTTGCAATGGTTCACTTTCTTTTTCCACAACTGGTTCCAGGCAGTGTTGATGAGAGTGGGGGAGGAGAGAGAGGGAGAGTGTGTAAAGCAAATAGCAGCAGCACCGAGGTGGACCTTTGCACAGCTTTCACAATCACTCATACTTCGTCAGACATCTAGATCAGCACAAAAGCAACAGAATATGATTGCCTGCATTGAAGCTTGTTCCAAAGAAACAGCTAGTACAAGTATTAAAAGATGCCAATACTGTAATAACAAATATAAGCACCTGCTCACACTTCAAGAAACAAACCAACTAATGTACAGCACGGCTGCAATTATAACTGAATACCTAGAATGCAAAATCAACAAATAAGAAAAAAAAATCCAGAGAATACACCACCGAAATGAAGATCAAGCTACAAAATTAAGATTCAGCATGCTAAGGTCAGATGCAAGTAAGCTAGAACAGATGAAAGAAAAGAAGCTGAAGAACAAGGAGTAAAAAAAGCTGATCAAGAAATATCACCTAGAAGCAAGGAAGCTTAAGAAAGCACTGGAAATAATAAAGCAGCAAAAACAGTTGTAGGCAAGAAGATCAGCAGATTCAAAGCTTTCCTTGCACACATTATAAGCAGAATCTCCAATTTCCATTGAATCAGAAACAGTTTTTTTGTTAATCCTTCAATAGAGAGACTGCAAAGAGCCAGCCAACTCCTAACAAAGAAACAACAGCGCAGTTCTGGCCACAACAAGCAGATAACCTTCCAAAAATGCAAGAATACAGGTTGATTAAAGTATAGGGATACAAATAAAAAAAGAAGCCTAAATGTAAGAACTTGTAATAACAATAGAAATGGTGGAGACAAGGGAAGGAAGATCAAAAATTGGTCAGCAAAAGATGAAGGTGAACTGCATGTTTTGGAGTTGAAATATCCAACTGGTATACAACAACTTGTTGCCAAATCATTTAACATATTGCAAGGATGTGAAACTGAGGATCAGTTAACATGTGGCAAAACCAACCTGATAATGAAAGGTTCAATAGAAGTGGCCAGCAACCTCGATTTACGACCACAATAGAGCCCAAAATTTCTAAGTGAGACAGTTGTTAAGTGAATTTTGTTCCATTTTATGACTTTTCTTGCCATAGTTGTTAAGTGAATCATTGCATATGTTAAGTTAGTAACACTGTTCTTAAGTGAATCTTGCTTCTCGATTGACTTTGCTTAGTCAGAAGGTCACAAAAGATGATCACATGGCCCTAGGACACGGCAACCATCATAAATATGAATCAATTGCCAAGCATCTTAATTTTGATCATAAGTGTGAAAAATGGTCATAAGTCCTTTTTTCAGTGCTGTTGTAACTTCAAGCGGTTACTAAATGAAATGTTCTAAGTCAAGGACTTCCTGTACAGGCCAATTACCTTCTTACCGACAACTTCAAATAGTAATGCAATTTGATGGAATTTTTCATTACCTATTGCAAGTCCCAGGAGAAATCACATTTATTCTTCTACCAAAAATATAAAAGAGAGAGAGAGAGAGAGAGAGGGAGGGAGGGAGGGAGGGAGAGAGAGGGAGAGAGAGGGAGAGAGAGAGCCTGTTTCTGATCAAAACTCCATCATAAACCACAATAAGCCACAATACAAACTCAGACTAAATTGAAGATTAAGATTGCAGCCATAAGTACCTGGATGTAAGATTGCTATTCAGAATTACTTATTCCTGACTCCATTTTGAATTCAAAAGCAGATTGAGTTTTAACCAGATATGTTCAGGCAGCTGAACATATAATATTATAATATTAACTTTAAATATATAAATATATAATATTTAGCTTTGAATTAAAAATTCAAATCCCCCCTACCGAAAAAGAGCTATGGTTAAAGTGCTACCATGAAATGGTACCCCAATAAAAAGAGGTGGGAAAGAAGCTACCATTGTCCCATTGTTTTTAAAAATTCTTTTTAATTTCTTTTTTCATTTCTGTAAGCCGCCCGGAGTCCCTCGGGATTGGGCGGCATAGAAATTCAATAAATGAAATGAAATGAAATGAAGTCATTATCTTCTATTTGATTATTCCTTCATCTGTTGACTCCCTGTGTGTTTAGCCATCATGAGTTGCAAGGAACTTAGAAAGCCCTTCACAGCCATCTTAGGAAAAGAGCATCTCAGAGCAATGCTTCTTTATCTTCTCCATCCATCATTCCACTTTCTCTAAGCCTGTGCGAAGTGCAGTTTGCGACTGTGCAATTAAAGTTATTTTAATGTGCTCTGGATGAAAGGCTGAGTATATAGTGTAATCTCTAGGACTTGGCACTGATTGTAAGAAGTGAAAGACTCCTTTTTTTAAAAAAAATGAAGATCTGTACGTAATTTTTCTTTGGATCATTGTATGATGAAGAAGAAGAGCCTTAAGCATCAGGGTTAAGTTAATCTGTGGGTCCCAATCTGAATTTCTCTGCAATCTGATTATAAATCCTATCTCTCTGGGAGGCTGATTGATTATGCAGAGGATAGGGGGTAAATTGATTAGTTCATGAAAATTGCACAGAGGGGGCATGCATATTCTAGTGACTCAGTTTATAAACAAATAAACCATTTATCAACATCAAGCCTCTTATGCTTTTATTCTGCTGTAGGAATGGGGAGGTGGGGAGGTGCACATTTGCAGCTCTTACCCAAACTGTACAAGGTCACATGGCCGAAACTCGACTGAGTGCTTTCTTGGCCAAGTGCCATGCTTAAAGGCAAAAATTAAAACAAAGGCCTCATTCGAAAGATCCAGGGCTCCTTTCCATCCTTGATCATCCAAGCCGGGCTCTGAAGGGCAGCACAGCATAAAAGAAGGACACTGGAGTGGTAGAGCATTGAGATGCTGCAAAAGGAAAGAAGTCCAAAATCGGACCATGAATTGAAGGCTATTTTGGCAATGCCTCTATTTCAACTTGTTTTAATTATCGGAGAATGCTCTATGCTTGCCTGCGTTTTCCTGGGTTCCTTCCCATCTTCTAAAAAGTTGCACATTTTCTTGGAGGGAGGGGTCCTGGCTGTTTCCTGCCCACCCTCACTGCTTTCTTGTCTTTTGACCTGCTCTGTTTGAGAGTTGAACAAGCTTCCTGATTCAATTGATCTGACTGTCTTTGCGGCTTTCTCTTCGTTTGCAAAGCTAAGCAAACCAGTCGAATGACCTATTGGTGCAGCTCAGGTAAAATTTAGAATTGTAAATCCAAGTGTGGGGATACAGGGAAAATGGCAAGGCATTTGATGCTTGAAGGGTTCACCTTTACATCACCTTTTTTCTTGTTTGAAAAGAGTTTCGAGTTTTGAGTTTAATAAAATTTGTATGCCCCCCACTCCCATTGGGACTCTGGGCGGCTCACAGCAAGACAAAAGAAACATTTAAAATTTAAGAATA